CCTCCTCTGTCCTCCACTCGTTAACTGTATTAATGGCACCTGTTTGAACTCGTTATCAGTATAAAAGACACCTGTCCACAACCTCAAACAGTCACACTCCAAACTCCACTATGGCCAAGACCAAAGAGCTGTCAAAGGACACCAGAAACAAAATTGTAGACCTGCACCAGGCTGGGAAGACTGAATGTGCAATAGGTAAGCAGCTTGGTGTGAAGAAATCAACTGTGGGAGCAATTATTAGAAAATGGAAGACATACAAGACCACTGATAATCTCCCTCGATCTGGGGCTCCACGCAAGATCTCACCCCGTGGGGTCAAAATGATCACAAGAACGGTGAGCAATAATCCCAGAACCACACGGGGGGACCTAGTCAATGACCTGCAGAGAGCTGGGACCAAAGTAACAAAGGCTACCATCAGTAACACACTACGCCGCCAGGGACTCAAATCCTGCAGTGCCAGACGTGTCCCCCTGCTTAAGCCAGTACATGTCCAGGCCCGTCTGAAGTTTGCTAGAGAGCATTTTGATGATCCAGAAGAGGATTGGGAGAATGTCATATGGTCAGATGAAACCAAAATAGAACTTTTTGGTAAAAACTCAACTAGACGTGTTTGGAGGAGAAAGAATGCTGAGTTTCATCCAAAGAACACCTACTGTGAAACATGGGGGTGGAAACATCATGCTTTGGGGCTGTTTTTCTGCAAAGGGACCAGGACGACTGATCCGTGTAAAGGAAAGAATGAATGGGGCCATGTATCGTGACATTTTGAGTGACAACCTCCTTCCATCAGCAAGGGCATTGAAGATGAAACGTGGCTGGGTCTTTCAGCATGACAATGATCCCAAACACACCGCCCGGGCAACGAAGGAGTGGCTTCGTAAGAAGCATTTCAAGGTCCTGGAGTGGCCTAGCCAGTCTCCAGATCTCAACCCCATAGAAAATCTTTGGAGGGAGTTGAAAGTCCATGTTGCCCAGCGACAGCCCCAAAACATCACTGCTCTAGAGGAGATCTGCATGGAGGAATGGGCCAAAATACCAGCAACAGTGTGTGAACACCTTGTGAAGACTTACAGAAAACGTTTGACCTCTGTCATTGCCAACAAAGGGTATATAACAAAGTATTGAGATTAACTTTTGTTATTGACCAAATACTTATTTTCCACCATAATTTGCAAATAAATTCTTTAAAAATCAGACAAGGCAAGTTTATTTATATAGCACCTTTCAACACAAGGCAATTCAAAGTGCTTTACAATGTGATTTTCTGGATTTTTTTTTCTCATTTTGTCTCTCATAGTTGAGGTATACATAGGATGAAAATTACAGGCCTCTCATCTCTTTAAGTGGGAGAACTTGCACAATTGGTGGCTGACTAAATACTTTTTTGCCCCACTGTATATATATATATATATATATATATATGCAAATGTATGGACTATATCGTGCTCCTTTGTCTGGCTCCAGTTCAATGAGAGTCTGCAATGCTACCTCGGGCTTATAGAAGGTTGTGGGTGTATTTAGTATAATTATCATGCTTAAAGGTTTGTGATGCAACTGGTGCAGTGTAATATAGAGCCGTTTTGGGGGCGAATAAACAAACGAGGCTTTGCACGATGGGGCTTTTGGCCTTGGCGAAGCTACCTTTGACTTTTTTTGGCAGCATCCCAGATGCAGAACCTGACTCAAAGACTGCTGGGTGGCCCTGACGAGTTCAAACATTTCACTGCAACTGCCCTGACGAGTTCAAACATTTCACTGCAACTGCAAGTCAACAACAAAGGTTGGGATGTCAGGCAACAGAAGTGCCTCAGAGCCACTCACTGATCCTCCGCATTCCACTTTTATCACTTTGTTCTGGATAAAAGTGTTAGCCAAATGCCTAAACTGTGTGATTATTCAGCTGAAATATTGTTGCTTAAAAATAGCCTTGATGCTCTGTTGACTGATGCAGAGACAGAATAAGTCAAAGCTAATAGGCCAGCACCAGTTTCAGTGTGAGCTATGAATGCTGTTTTACTGTGTATTCTCTATAAGCGTTTTGATATGAAATGCAAAAATGTACAAAGAAACACCGGGCAGCCGTCCGACAGCCCCTCAGTCTTGTGTGTACCGTATATGCTTGGCTTGCGGCGTTAACTGGAGGCAAAGAACAATTGTAAAACATGGTTTGTTCACAGTACCATTTAATGAAAAGAGAGGCAAAGTAAACAGTGTAGATGTTCCCAGGGGCATTTGGGACTATTGGCAACCGCCTCAAGTCTTGTGCAATGTGTCTCAGAGTTGGCGAAAAATATGGCTGAAAAACAACGATAAATGTGGCCATCATAAATTAAAGTCTACAAAACACTTCTGTGGGCAACAGAAAAACTCCGGAAAGGAGAAGTTATAAATAAACGTTGCACTCATTTATTTTTCCATTCCTGTTGTAACCTAGTTTCCAATATTTTTGTTATTCTGAGAGTGGTGCCTTCCTCTAGCCATCAGCGCCTATTTTGAACAATTGTGCCCTCCTACAATGGAGTCAGTAATTATTAAAAACATGATTGTGTCCTCAGTAAACCCTTTGTGTAAGCACAGCTGTTGAATCTCTCTTGATAATTGCACATCTTTTTAAAGGTTTCCTATTCTAATCGTGTCCTTCTGATATACCTTACCTACCCTTTGAATTTAAAACCACTATGCAGAGCAGCTTGCAGAGTTATTCACATGCACGCCAGAGAGTGCAAGTGTGGAACATGGGAATCTATTTCGGTGACACTTGAAGTGCTGATGACCTGCCTCGGGCCTTTCAAATCAAAGGGGAGTGCCGGACTTTATTAAAATGGCAGCCTGGAAATTGGGGCTTTGAGCCTTGAAACAGCACAGTGCTCAGGTAGGGGCCGTGTGCGTGGGAAGGAATACTCGTGGCAATGTCCTCTGCTACAGAATCTCATTCATTTACAGTTAGATATGCAGTCCCTTTCAACTGAACCTCCATTTCATGTTAAAAGATCAACTCCTCCTCGGTGATATGATTAAGACATATTTTAAATATGAATCCCAATTGGAAAATGCATTAATGTCCACTGGAAGCAGTGATTTAGCATTCAGCTTGATGGTATATTGATGGGTGCTTCCCTGCTACATTTGATGTTCATTGTATGTTTGTGTCTATTGGTTTTTCCTATTTAGCATATTTATATTTTTAAGACAAATACTGCAGCATTGAAATATTACATGGTTGTACAGCAATGTTTTTATAGGTTGTCCGAGCATTTTGCTGCTATACTGTAGGCCATTTGTCATCATACTAACATGCATTACCGAGGGAAGTGTTTTTCTTTATAATTTCCAGCCCCTGGAGACAGAAAACATTGCACGAAATAACACACTCAATACAACGGTGTCTTGTAAAGGGCATAAGGATGATAAACACAATATTGTTGGCCATAAAAGCTCCACACTGTCTGAAAATATCACCAGCACATCGTCAGTGTGGCACAACATTGTTATAATTATAATATCTACTCATCTTCCTCTTCCAGGCCTCGAGGGGCTCCATATGTTGCGGTGTTGGACAGTCCTCACTCCTCCTCACATCTCCGTTCCTCCTCTCCTGCCAAGTGCTCTGGGGCACTGCAGCCTTTTCCGCCGCTCACTCATCTCTTGCTTGTTTTCCCTCGCCTCTCATGTCCGTTTATTTTGCTTTTCTTTCATGTGTGTCTGCTATTGTCTTCCGGGTTAATTTCCGCTCAGGCTACAACGATAGATGCTTTACATTCCCGAGTCTTTCACATTACACTCCACTTACAAGCCACTTAACAAACTATTTGAAGTGTGTTGATATATTAAAGTGATGAATGAAACAGCCTCTGCACTGACATATTGAACTGACGAGAATAAAGATAACCATTTCACTCTAAATCTTGCACAATTGGAAGGATTAGCAACAAATTATTTATAGGTGTCTGGCATTTAGAGTAAAATATGATACAAAACATACGACAAAGGTCCAAGGCTGCAATCCAAATGGACACATAAAGACACCAGCATGCATCATTGCACCTCTCAATCAATGGGTGCATGCTTTACCCGCTAGTTAGCTCAACCCTTTAAATAACGCTAATAACAGAAGAAGAGCAGTTGCATGTAGTTGACACAAGTATTAGTGTTTCCTCTAAAGAATATCAGGTTTTAAAAGACTCGGAGTACTGGACTGTGATGGGTGAGACTACATTAACCCAAATGAAAACACTTTCTCTTAAATTGACAAATGATGGTGTATTTTCATGCCAGCTGCAGCAGAAACCAACTTAATAAAATAAACAACAACAACACTATATTATATTTATATTCTCTCTGTGCTGATGAACAATGATTCATTGTGTTTTGCAGACTTTCTCTTTAGGAAGTTAAGTATGACAAAGTATTTTGCGTATCCATTTTGTTTTGCGGTTCATATTTAATGTCATTTTTACATTTGTAATACATCTCATTCAATCACATTTGTATTTATGTAGCCGAGTACAACACATTAGTCAGGGCGCTTCATTGTGTGTACAGCATATGACACCTTAAAGGGCCTCTTTTATACAATTGTTCTTTTCACCCTCTGTCTGAAACCAGAGCCCAGTCTGCTCTAATTGGCTCTGTTGTGATTGGTCAACCGCTTAAAGATGTCCCGCCCCTTAGCTTTTCAAGGTCAATGTGAGAGTGCTAGCCAAGAGAAGCGTGTGTGTTACGTATTGGGACCAATTACATGCACAAAAACCTATACAACACATTACAGGAAAAGGAGAACCCCCCCCCCAAAATCATAATTGGGCCTCTAAATGGCCATCTAAATGTCAATGATCATTTTAACGTATATTTAAAAAAAAAAATGGATCATTGAGGATGTCAACCATTTTCCAGGTGCTGCTGAAAATAATAATGTGGGCGTCAGGCAGGACTACAGCAACATGAGATATTTTTGTCATATTTAGTCACTTACCCCTCCTCTGTTCTCTTCCTGCCAGGTTTTCCGAAGCGGCGAAGGCATGGGCATCCGCCTGGACAGCGCCTCTGCCTTCCAGGGGGCCGTCATCTCCCCCCACTACGACTCCCTCCTGGTGAAAGTCATCGCCAGCGGGAAGGACCTGCAGACTGCAGCCTCCAAGATGAGCCGAGCCCTGGCCGAGTTCAGAGTGCGAGGGGTCAAGGTAGGACATTCAGCCACGTGTGTTTTGATGCCGCTTTGTGTGGGAATTTTAAAGTTATCGCTATGTGTGAGAAAATGCTGACCTCTTCAGATGATTGACATGAGGTATTTTTACAGCAGCGATGGTTTATCTGCTGTGAATGGATTCATGAGAGCCCATCTCAAACTATTGGAGACAGTCGAGCATAGTTAATGGTACGATGCAGGGAAAACCTTAAGAGAGAGAAGGACATCTTTATAAGGTTTCTTGGTAGCGAAGCAGCTGCAGAGAACAACAAGTCACTGCGAAGTGGTACTCCAGCCTTCTCGGATACTCCTTTCATCTCTTGACATGCTCAGTTTATTCTTTATTTCTGGGTTTTCAGACTAAAAACTAAAGTTATGTCTGTGCTGAAAACATCCCTGCATAAAGACAGCACTATAGTTTAATCAGCAAGTGCAAACGCTTGTTAGCAGACTCAGTGACGTCAGCAGAAACCATGTTAACAGACTGAGTAGGCGGCGGTGATTAAAAATAATGATCTGCATTTGCTGTTCATGTACAAGCTAGTTATATCACGAACCACATGACACCTCTCAGACCTTTTTGAATGGCCTTGAAAAAGTCTTGATTTATACCACTAATATTAGTTTTAAAACACTCAATAAACCTCATAATGTTGTGGAACACGATGTTTAATCAGCCATGCTCATTTATTCTCTGTTTGCCTACTAAAGGTAACCCAGTTAATAATTGAGTTGGATAAAAAAGAAGCACATAATAGACGGTTTGTGGTTCTCCTGCGGTTATCATTCAGATTCCTTCCAATCCATTACAAGTCATTTGCACATTATCGTTTTAATTTTCACCCCGCAATTAAGAATAAACAATTTGCTATCTCATTGATTGTCAGGTAACACATGGAGCTTTCTCACAACATGTGCCTTTTTATGCCTCGCAGCTTAATGTGAAAAGTGCTGTAGCTATGAATAAAACTGGAGAGATCTTTGACTGGATTAACCAGGCCCATGATAAAACTATTTTCCAATTTCGAGTGGATGCAAGTGAGTGAAATATCAAGGTGAACAGGTCTTGGAAGACAATGAGAGTTGCTTGGGGAAGCATTCTTATAAATCTCACTGTTTTGCAACAAGAGTATCAATGAACAGAGGATGAATGTCAGCAGTGGGATTTGTAAAATGATTAGATGGATCAGTAACAGATAATGTATGTTCTGCTTTGACTAGACTCTAATCAGTAGGTGAAACAATAAGGATCCTCTTGCATGAAGGATATACGTACATATCCTTGGTTTAATTAATGGTTTATATTGTGTCCTGTTGCTGGATAAAATGAGGTCTGTTCGAATAAAGGGAACCTTAAAAGTCTTATCAGCTTAGTTCATATTTGTCCCTCAGTCTATTTAGAATTAGTCATGATGAGGTGAAATTGCAAGTGACATTGGTGTTCTCGACTTTAATTTGTCGTTCAACTTGGAGTGAACTTTGCAAACTATCAGCAGTGATTTAATAGATTAACTTTCTGACAAGAGTGAGGAAGCCAAGACCTGATGAGCGTGTGGACACTGTGCTTTGTCCTGGGAAGTCAACCTAATGTACCTTTCCTCCAGTGGCTCAACATTTGAATCCTTTTCTGCAGAGACAAAAGCTGTTTCACAGTCTAAAAACATGATTTTTATTTGACGACTTCTGAGCTACCATGGTGAATACGATTTAGATTTAATTTGCAAAAAAGTATTTTCCATTCTGCACCAGTGAACCAACAGAGATGCAAAGAATAGAGGATGGCTGTTACAAGCTGTTGAATTAAACATGTTTCCCTGAATACTGCTGTTGGCGGACTGAGATCATGACAGCTCTTTTAAAAGACTTGAGATTCGAGAGAAACCCAACTGCTTTCTGTGTTATTCTGCCACCAACAAATCTGCCAGTTGTTTAGAGTGGAGCCTGGGTTTATTATGGAGAAGTTACAAATATTCAAGTACTGATGTCTTTAAGTTACTGAAGTGTACATATATATCCTGATGTCTTGTCCTTGCAAGGAATAGATAAGCCACTTTCTTTCACAATATGAAAATCACCACGGCTATGGTGGATACACTTTCTTCACATCAAACCTCATTGTTTTTTCTACTTTTAAAATATTCTATGAATTCATTTATTACCAGCTAGAAAATAAACACTACACCTCAACTTGTGACACTAGGTTGTTTAACTTACTCATAATATTGAAAAGCTGTCATACATGAGCTTTCTTCTGTGAAAACCACACAGACGTTTGTTCCTGAGAACCTGGATTATGTACTAGTACCATAAATAATGAGCATGTTCCACTACAAGGGATATTTCGTTTTTGTGTTGCTCTAAAAATACATTTAGCTGAAGTGTAGGGTTTCAGATGTGATGTCAGTTTGACGTAAGCACCCTACGTCATTCAGTGGGTCACTCCAAAAGTCCTACACTGTTATCTATCCTAGGGGCTAATTAATTTCCACTCTGATATATAGATATCCAATCCACTTTATTTATATAGCACATATTAAAAACAGAGGGTTTCACCGAAGTGCTTCACAGCAGACATAACATTATAATAAAATATTAAAATAATAGATAAAAGGCATACATAAGAATAGATAAAAGGCATAACAATCGATAAAACATAGCTTAAACTGACTCGAAAGCGAGGGAAAAGAGGTGGGTCTTCGAGCGGGACTTAAACGTTCGGCATACACAGTTAAATATAGTCTTAAGGACTCAGTGCATTTTGTGTGTCAACCACTCGAATACACCCATACAGTATACTGTATACGGAAGTGACCAATGAAAATGTCTACAGCAAGAAATTGTGGTATTAGTGAACGGTGGCCTTGGAGATAACTCACTGGTGACATTCCACCATAGCAACAGCATCATTGTTGGCTACAAATCTAAGGCTATTAAGCTTTGGTCTGCTCACAGAGATATGACACAGAGGGCTGACATCCTCCAAACTCTGAAGGGCTTTGTCTGTCTCCTAGTAAAAGAAAGTTGGCTACATGAATTCTGAATGCAATGCTTCTCAGTTCATTCTTTGAGTTTGGTGGCACCTATAGTCACCATTGATCCTCTGAATGTTAAGTATAGTGTAACCTTTCAGTTCCAGGGAAATCCACAAGTTACTTGCTTGCAGCAAGATGTCATGCTGCTCGTCCTGTGTTGTGTGGAATTAGTGTTTGGCATTTCAGAAAGCTCTCTATATCCCCGGCTTCTGCATGTGTGCGCACTTGTTTGTATGTGTGCGCACATTTGAGGAGCCGTGTGTGTTTTGCAGTGAAATGTCACACAACCAGCCGCAAACAGAGAGAGGGGGAGTGATGGACGGGACATTTGGCAGGAGGGTGAGAATAGATGGATCAAGGAGCGGGGGAAAACTGTAAAAAGGCAATTAAGATGAGGAGTATGTAACATAAAACAACAAGAAAGGTGGTGCGGCCCAGAGAAGCCCATGCACATGTAGCTGTTGGGTTTGTGGCAGAATGCACATGCAGGTTCAGTTTAGGAGACAGTTTAAATATTAAAATGACTAAAAACTAATCAAGATCATCTGAAGTTCACTGAAATGTGTCCTCAAAACCACAAATACAACACAATCGAAATACAGTGCGCTTCATTTGTATCTGCCCACCTTAATTGACCCCTAAGAAGCTGTAACTAGAAAAAGTGAATGCTAAAGTAATGTCTATGCGACTGCACTAAGAGTCATATTTGACATTTGAAGAGTGAAGTGTGGTGTATAATCATTTATTGTCTGCCTATTATTTCCAAAAATACAAGAGCAAAAGTGTAAAATGAGTCTTCTGGAACCATCAAAAAATCAGCCTGAGGCTACTCATGGTTATATGAATTAATTAGATATCTGATTAAATAGGCCAGCAGCAGATGTCATTTCAACTAACATAATGGACAGTTGGACGGCTGCTTAAGTCTACCTTATTCTAAAATCCATGAGTCATTATTTAAAAATATGTTTTTGTTATCCCTAACATTCTTAATTGTGCAAAGGAGGACGTTTGTTTCCTCTCTTAATTACACACACAATACATCTGCTTCATATTAATGCAAACATGGGAGCATCTGTCCTGAGCAGTTTTCTCATCACAGAGGATGTTGGCTGATGAGTTCATAAGCAGACAAATAACCCCCTGCTGCAGAACATCAGATGGTTTCTGTTGATTTGTTTACCTCTGTATTTGTGTGATGGAGATATTTTCTACTGCAAAGGTAGAGAAAGACACATAGAAGTTCCTACAGTACGCTTCTCCTCACGGCACTAAATATTGTGTAAACTTTTATAGTCTTCCACAAACTGAGATTTTTGGATTGAAACTGTAGAAAAGAAGTACAAGTAGCCATCACTCATTAGTTTGTTGAATATCTATTTGAAGTCTTGAATTTGGCATATTGGCCATATGTTACCATATTTGGATGAGAGGGTAGAAATGAGAAGAGTTGCTGTTAGCGTAGCGAACTCAAAGCTATATGCTATCGCTATCTAGCTAGCTTGGTTAGCATAGCATAGCATGGCACATCCATAACTTGTGCTATCTGTGTTTAATAAAAATAGCTTGCATTTAAATAAACAGCAGACCCCTTTTATTACCAGAAGTTCTTGAGGAAGATTTGACTGAGGTAATAATTTGAGTAAGGATTACGTTAATTTTCTCAGATTTCTATACACTTTTTTTGCAAACTGTGGATTTGCTGCTGCTAGCTATTTGACCATTGTTTCAAAAACATTGGCCAGATGTTTCCCCTTGATATTCGTGTGTGTGTGTGTGTATGATAGACTCTTCACAGTTTGTTGCTTTAGAAGTTATTTTTGCAACACCAGGGGCTGTGCTTTCGGCGGTGTGGTTTCATCGCTGTTTATCTTTACACCTCATGTGTGAGAGATTGATGTGACCTGGGGTTGTTGGACCCATCAGTTGGTGAGAGGGATGATTCCTATCATGAGAGGCTCTT